TTTTATTTACAAAATGATAGACGTATTCACATTAACAAAATAAATAGTCTTACAATTGTAGACTAACTTGTCCCGTATCACAATGATACAATCTAAGGATATCTACAATCTAAGGATATCACACCAGTATCCTTAAGAATAAGCCAAAGAACAAAATGCAAAATACAATCAAAATTAAGAACAAAACCAACTACATCTGAGTACCCTTAACTAGAAGCAACAACAACATGTTAGGCCTTCCAGTAAGATAGCACAACAACCAGCAACACCAGATCAATATCCAAACCAACACTTATGGACAGTAAAGAATTTGAGCCACTGAAACCCAGGACCTAGTCCAATCTTCTTTACTTCCTTCCTTTAGCTTCTAGCTGTTCTGTATTCCCACCATTCCTTACATGCCAAGTTAACTACTGCAACCTCTGGCAAGAGAGAGTTCTGAAATTTCCATAAATTTCTCGATTTCCATAACCACCATAAGAGATATGTGGTTAGTTGGATCCTATCTTCAGAGATTTGCAGCTTATTAACAGAACAGACTTGGCTCCACCACCTTCTGAAAGTGATATGCTGATCCTCCATCCCTTCCCAATGAATAGGTGCAATTTTCCATATCCTTTGAGCCCTTACACAGTGAAAGAACAGGTGTTCTAAATTCTCCTCAGCTTCACCACATGATTGACAGATAATATCCACTTCCAAGCCTCTCCTTTTCAACTTCAGACTAGTAGGTAGGACATCATTAACACATTTCCAGATGAAATGTTTAAGTTTGCCCGTAATCTTCAAATTCCAGCTCTTCTTTTTTATCTTCCTCTCCATGTCAGCTGATCCACTTCCTTCTGCCAAATCCAATAATCTAAATTTCTTCAAAATAAGAGTATCATAAGTCTTACCCACTGAAAATAAGCCATTGTTGATTAGGGACCAGATCCATCTGTCTTTCAATGTACAATCCAAACTTTTCATTTTCTGGATTGCCTTCTTGTCATTCTCCTCAAACAGCTCCTGCAAAAGATCCAAGTTCCAACCACTTCCTTCCTCTGCCATCAGTTGATTCACTGTCTGCAACTGGCAAGAGATGCCACTTTTCAAAGTTGGGTAGCCAGGGCAATGATTTAGAATCCAAGGTTCTGACCAGATGCTTGTTGATAGACCATCCTTAATTTGCACTCTGAAATACTATTTGTACTTGTCTTTGACTGTCAACCAGCTTAGCCATAACCAAGAACCTGAAGAGTTTATTTTTGCATTAAGAATAGTATCATTATGAAAATACCTGCCTCTTAATACATTGGACACCAGCAAGTTGTGATGGGACAAAACTCTCCAAATTTGATTGAGAATCAATGCTTCATTGAACAAGGACAAGTCTTTGAATCCCAGCCCACCAAGATATTTAGGTAAAGAAAGTATATTCCAAGCTTTCTAGTGCACACCTTTAGCAAAGTCATGTCCTTTACTCCACAAAAAATTAGCAGTCATTCTACTAATCTCCCTGCAAGTTCCCAAAAGAAGACAGAAACAAGACATAGAAAAGACTGGTAGAGCATCAATTATTGCCTTTATGAAAACCTCTTTCCCAACAATAAAAAGAAAATTAGACTTCCAGTTAACCAATCTCTTCTGCACTGCCTCATTCACAAATGAGAAAACTTCTTTTTTAGACTTTTCAATACCAAGTGGTAACCCAAGATACCTGGTAGACTTTTGAATTTGAATGCCCTGAAAAATTCCACAGATAATAGCCTGCATGTCTCTACTAGTACTTTTGCTGAAGAAAACTGAAGATTTGCTTAGATTTACCTTTTGACCACTGAAATTCTGGTATTTCTCCAAAACTAGCATCAAAGTATTGGCATGACAAACCTCTGCAGAGCTAAAAAAGAGAGTATCATCTGCAAACATGAGATGAGTAACTATAGGCCCCAACTTCCCCATTTTGATTCCTGAGAATAACCCTCTATCAGATACATTCCTCAATAACCTAGACAACACCTCTAACACCATAATGAAGATATAAGGGGACAAGGGGTCCCCTTGTCTTAATCCCCTAGATGCTTTCACAAATCCTCTCACCTCCCCATTCAGATTAAAGGAAAAAGCAGTAGAAGATAAACAAGCTAGAATCTATTTCACAAAAACTGGATGAAACCCCATCTTTTTCAGAATTTTTTGAACACAATCCCATTCATTCTATCGAAGGCTTTCTCCATATCAACTTTAACAGCCATGATTCATTTTTCCCCACCCTAAGCCTATTCAAATAATGAACAACCTCATGAGCAATTATTACATTGTCTAATAACTGCCTCTCTGGTATAAAAGCACTTTGATCTGGACTGATGCAATACTGAAGACAAGTTTTCAACTGAGAAGTCAATATTTTGGAGATAATTTTGTAAGATACTCCACACAGACTGATAGGTCTATAATTCCCAATAGTAGAAGGGTTGAGGCATTTAGGAATCAAAGAAATTAAGGCAGGGTTCCAATTTTGCAGTAATTGCCCAGAAGAAAAGAAACTGAAAATTGCCCCACACAAATCAGTTTTCACAACCTCCCAAAAACCTTGAAAGAAGATAAGGGACATACCATCTTGCCCTAGTGCCATTCCTGGATCCAAGCTAAACAAAGCTTCTTTAATCTCCTCTTCAGTGACAGGATCCATCAACTCTTCATTTATTGCGCTGTAATAGTCACTGGAATAAGATCCAGAATTTCTGCATCCCCCTCAGAACCTTCAACAGTGAACAAATCATTATAAAATTGGCAGATACATTGTTCAATATCATTGAGATCATCCCACACTTCACCCGCAGCCCCTTCTAGCCTTTGAATTCTGTTAACTTTCCTTCTTTGAAGGATGTATTTTGAATTAGAGTCTCCCTCCTTCACCCACTGACTTCTTGAATTTTGATACCATAATTCCTCTTCTCTCACGTTGATTTTGTCCATGTAAACTTTCAGCCTCTCTCAGTCATTCCAATCTCTATCTGCTCCCAGCCCACTCATAATCTTCATTCCTTTAGCAACTCTTTGCTTTTCCTGTATCTCTTTAGCTCTAAACCCTTTACTCCATCTCAGTAAAGCCATTTTTACTTCTTTTATTTTTTCAGATACTTGGAACACAAGAGTGCCATGTTTTTCCATATCCCAAGCTTTAGCTACCACCTCTTAATGCCTTCTCTTTTAAGCCATCTTCTGTCAAAGAAAAACCTCCTATGTCTCTTGATCTCCTGATTTTGAGAGTCTGCCAACACCAATAATCTGTGATCTGAAGCACTTGAAAATATGGTCTGAACTTTTTCTTCTGATTTTAAAGCCAACCAGTCATATGAATAGAATATTCTATCAATATTTTCCTCAATAAAGCCTTCATGCTCCCTATTATTTTCCCAGGTAAAGGGATGACCTTTACCCTGAATTTCTTGCATTTTCATATTGGCCACAAATTCATTAAATCCTGCACAATCCCTCACAGTTTTCAGCCTGCCCCCACACTTTCCCTCAGGAGCTCTAATTGCATTCCAATCACCTCCAATCACCCAGTACTTGCCCCATTTTGCCTTAGCTCTTATCAACAGGTCCCATAGATCTTCTCTAGTTCTTCTATCCACACACATGTAGACAAAAATCAGGAAATTCAGGAGTTCCCTCCACTTCTACCTCAAAACAGAAACTTTGCTCCACAATCTGTTTAACAGAAACATCTTTCTGTCAAAGAAGCAAAATCCCTCCACTAAGACCTTGAGGATCAACAGCTTTCCAACAATCTTTAAAACCAATTTTCTTACACACCGACTTAACAAAATCCTTCTTTTTTCTAGTTTCTGAAATGAAGAAAAAACTTGGGTGGTGAAATCTTGATGATTCCTTGATTTGAGAAATTGTAGAGGGTCCACCCAACCCTCTACAATTCCACACCATTTGCTTCATTTGGAAACTTGGGCCCACTCAAGGCTTGCCACCTCTACCTTTGCATCTTCTTGTTTATGTTTCTTTGTGCTTCTAGCCACACTTGCCATGCCCTCAGAATTTTCTTCAACCTCCTCATCCACAAAATTGAGTCTTCTCTTATGATTTTGCAGTGGGCTCCTATCAGAACTCTGGGTTGACAATTGCTTCTTACCAGTAACTCTTTTCCATTCTTTGCCCCCAGTCAACTCTTTTTGGTCTTGTTGCTGCAACCTTTGTTTCTCCTACGACAGTTTCACTGGTATCTTCACAAGGACTTCAGTCTCCATGTCATTGTCCCCACCCCCTGGTTGCTTTTCCTCCTCTTGCCCACTCCTATTAGCCCTACTCTCTGCCAGAATAACTGAATTTCCTATGGTAGTACACTGCACATCCTCCATGACTACATTATGAGGCTCAACTACCTCCTCATTAGCTTCTATAATCTCCTTAAGCATTTGTGTATGTGAGTTGCTACCAGAAGCTTGATTGTCTTCAGATCTCCCAGTTGGCATTTGAGCAAGCGGTTGGACCTTAGGAGTCTCCTTTATTGACCGACTAAGTGGAGAGCTTGCAATAGGCGATTTGATTCCCATAGGACTATCACAACCTTCATCCAGTCCTCAAATTGACCCTCTTTCACTGCTCCAATTTTAATATCTCTGCACCTTTTCTCACAAGCTCTCTCTAGTTTCCCAATAATTCCACAATAGTAGCAGGTATTAATCAACTTTTCATATTGGAATGTGACTTGTTGAACTGAATCATTAAGCTTAATACTAGCGCATCTTAGAAGCGGCTTGGTTACATCTATTCCCACAAGGATTCTCAAGTAACTGCCCCTATCACCACCTGCTTTAACTACTAACACATTTTGAATTTGAGGGAACATCCTTCCAATTTTCCTTCCCACTTCTGTGCAGAGCCAATTCAAATGAAGGTTATTCACTTGAACCCATAGCCTAAGCCCTTCCTCCCATTCTCGGAGAATGAGGTACTGATTCTCAAAAATCCGATTAACTCCTTCCATCACTTTTTTCTTATCCTCTTTGTTCCCAAAATTAAACTGAAAGAAATTATTCTTCAGCTCATTTACCTCCATTGGGATTTTGATTTGCCAAATGTTGCCCATCGTTCTTCTAATGCCCAACAAACTTGCTTTCCTGTCCCCTGTGATTTTCCCGAACAGACTGAGATCGCAGTCTTCTGCACTAGTCTTTATATCGCCATCCCGCAGTTCAATAGCTGATACCTCTGATTCTGATAGATCAATTCCTTTAAGCTTGATATTAAGCTCATTGGAATTCTTGAGGAATTGATGTCCTTGATAACCTCTGATTCCATTGCAAAGTCTGCAACTCGACACAAAGAAAGCAAAACGAAACAAAATCTAATCCCCAAAATCCTCCCGAAGAGAGAGAATAAATCCCCAAAACAAATTAACACACACTCGATCGAAACCAAAGATATCACCCTCAGATAGAATGAGAAACCCTATTCTCCCCAAAAAGAGAATAATCGCCCCCTTTGGAGGAATTTTTGCTTCGTTAGCAAATTAGAGACGCAATCATCATAATCTACGGATATTTTCATCAATTTTAAATATACGTATTACTTTGTACAAAATGTAATCATATTAAATGTTGACTTCAAAATTAAATGATCAACATCACTCAAGACCTTAGTTACAATTAACTAAAACTTTTGAATTTGTAAAATAGTCCATAAATTTTATTAAATTTTCAAAAAAGAGCAAATGTAATAATTACAAACTTAAAAAGTATTTTAGAAGTGGCGGACTCATGATTTTCAAATAGAGGCGACAAAATTATAGACATGAACACGTGGGGGAGTATATAATACGCAAATATGTGTTTAAACACAAAAGTAAAAGCGGAAGCATCATGTCAATAAAAAATATCTTCGGCAGATTTCCCATTACCCCTCAGAGATCTTTCATTATTTAATAGATCGGTTTGGGCACACAAAGTATAGCTTGTACTTACAAGACTCGAACTCCCTTCTAGTCTAACCAACATTCATATGGGATACTACACCAAAAGAGTAAACCAATCTAGAAGGCTAGTCAACAA